GTCTGACGCGTCTGCCTCCGCGACCCGAAAGGAGAAGCGGCGATGGAAGATGAAGATGAAGATGAAGACATTTATTTTCCTCTCGGCGTCATAGTCAATCACCATAAGCCTTTTCCGATCCACTGTTGGAGGAAAGTTTCTCTAAGACTTTGCGATAAACTTCTGTTTTTTGCCATTCCTATCTATCTTACTCAAGCGATCTTCTTCAGCTTACCATGCCATCGGTCAGAAGGTCTTCCACTGGGTTAATGCACCGCCGGTCCTGCGATGATCGGTTCTTTCTGCAACTTATCTTACCAACTGCCAACTTCTTCACTCATGCAACGACATTACCTACTACTGTTTGTGCTCTTACCCGTTCATTCGTTTTCCTATATGTTCTTCTTATTCCCATCAGACGTCTTTTCATGCTGTGTTGCGTAGTCTACAATATATGAATAACATTCAGGCTTACGGTTCACATTTCGCATCCACTGTTTAGCACTCTAAGCATATTGTGATCGAAAAATAGCTATGCAAGAGAAATTTCCATGACAAGAACATTTTCAATCTTTTCAAAGAAAGTGATCCATACCAAATTTACTGTTCTGTTGCTTTCGCAAGTTGGTTCTCCGTTGCAGAGAAACGCTGTCTGTAGTACATGTAGATTTACACATCTTCAAGCTTAAATTCATTGACTTCAATAAATCGCGGGGTTACCTATTTGTTAAGCATGGATTGAGCCTTCTTCAGTTCTATTTTAGTTCTATTCTGATGCATGTGCCGTTCAGCTCTTGGAGGTCTTGAGAGAATCGGAATGCCGTTCGCAAACCGCAGGTAGCTTAAGTAGTGCCGCTTATGTTCAACCCCTGATTTTCTCAACTTAGTGTCTTAAAAACCTCCTGTACGGTTGCTGTGAATAACTTCAGTGACACCGCCTCCCAATATGGGACGCAATGTTCGATTTTAAACTAGTTTTTTTCGAGAAGCTTTAAACTAGAAGTTGTATTCTTTAAAATCATGGCAACGATGTCCTTATATTTCTTCTCGATTAGCTGGCTCGTCACGGAATTCGGTACAGAATGGATGCAGACTGCGTCGAATACCGTCTTGAAATCGACTAACCCTGGGGCAGAGAGGAAGTTGGTATTTGCTGCTTGTCTGAATAACTGTACCATTAATTGTACCATCAGACGATGATCATTCGTACAAAGTCTACTTCAGAATCCTGCATACTCCTCTGACTGCCAAGCGTCCAACTTTTCTTGAACTTCGGTCATCGGTACCCTCTGAAAATCTTGTGGATGACTGGTAAAAAAAATAACCGGCTAGTAATTTTTCAAATCTCATATGGAGTAGATTGCAATAGTCAATTTGCCTGGATTTTTCGGTTCGTTCAAAAGCGTGAAAACTGGTGCGCTAATATCTTGACAAACACTTCGCTGCCAACATCCTAGGGGCTCTTCCTCGTTTCGACGGTTTTGCTTCATGTCGCATTTCTCCAGGCAAAATATCTGGAATTTCATCAACGAGATGTGCATCCTTCGACAGGCTTCTTATCGACAGCAAGATGCTGTGCTTCTTTCTTCATTTTTGTACAGTTTTCTACAGAAATCTTTCAATTTCTTTAGAATTGCCTTTCCACCCTTGAAGACAGTCGCATCTTCTGCTACGAGAGCTGAAATTGGTCGTGTGTCGACGGCGAATCTTTGACTTAATTTTTTCACGTTGCAGTTGCTTTCAGTAGTTTTTTGTTAATCTGCACTTGAATGTTCTGACATCTCTTTCAATCGTTTCCTAAAGGTTTTGCGAAATTCAAAGTATTCGATCTTTGATCGCTGCTGCTGTTTTCATTTCTTTCAATTCCTTCGTGAATACTCGGTCGACCTATATAACCTTTGTTCCAGAAATGTTTTATGCTGTTTCTTTAACTGTCTTCATTTTATTTTAATATATTTCTTTGATGCTGACTGCTTCTCCTGTTTCTTCTTCTCGCTTTGCGCGACCCTGTTAGTAAACATCGATTCGGTTATCTAATTTGTCAGAATAACTGCCCTACGCAGTGAATCAAGAAAATATTCCATGATCAAGCGAAAGCCGAAAATTAAACTGTCTCTCAAGAAACTTCGTCACTGTCTCAAAACTTCCCGTTGCGATCTCACTCCGAACACCCACAATATGAACAAAAATTTCCAATCTTACCAGTATGTTTATAATACGCTCCGGAGTGTTCAAGACTCGCTGCTTGCGAAAACGACTGCCAACACGACCGGGCGATAGAGCAGATAAGTACTGTGCGGATGACGATTTGTTTGGAAATAGAGATTGGCGAATGTTATCCTCCTGAAAGGCCAAAGATGAACAAATGTTTAAATTCTAGCGCCGGTCTCTGCGCAGTGACCAGTCAATCACCTGCTGATCAGTGACACGTGAAGGCCCAGGTTCTTGTTCGTCGTCCGTTGACCAGTCAACATCGATAAGCATGGCCGCCAGATCATGTGACACGTACCGCGACGGACTGGACATATACTGCATCTGCGACTGAGGTTCAAGCTGAGCGCCTGTGTCTGAACCCAATTCTTCGTCGATGCTGTCGTTGTCGTCATCATCGCTTGAATCTTCAGCGAGGTAGCCGAGACCGGTCAATGGACATCTGTTATTTAATTTGGTCGAGGAAACCTTCGAGGAGGGGTTCGAAGCCGACGGATCACTGCCCTTAGGGTCGGCCTTAAAAACCGACGTTGACACGCGCAACATCGCCGCGCAATTCAACAACGAATTTATCACGTTGCGCTCTTCCTTCAGAACGTTGTCCACCTTTATCTTGAAATCATCTAACATTCGCGTCACATCAGATAGGTATTTTCCGAACTTATCAAATTCGACCGACTCAGAGTTGTCAGTTACTTTGGTCACCATAGACTTTATTTCGGCGTACTCCTGTTCCAGGCACTTCAGTCTTGCGGTGATGAGAGGCCGCAACTTGTTTTTTAACGCAAAAATCAAGCCGCGTTCTAAAAATTACAAAAAATACATATCGTTTCCTTACATCATATTCAAAACCAATGTACATATCAGAAATGTCACTGCAGTTATACTGATTAAAATGCTAGACTAAATTTCCTAACAAAATCATCTTGAAATTAAAAGTTGCAGCGTATGCCCACCTGTTCTAAGCAATAAGTTGAAAGCATGATCATCCAAATATTTTCAGGTATCGATAATAACACAGAAATACTCTTTCAACAATTAATGCCTTAAATTTACTTTGTGTTGAATTTTCATGAATAACTTACAGTTGAGGTGGATGATCTCTATTGTTACGTTTTCCTGAATCCTGACAACGACGAATGCTATAATCTCTTAAACGCGATTATGACATGATAAAAACGATGAGAAACTTTTTTTCAACTAAGCAGAGATGAATCTGTAGACTAGGCTCTCTGTGTTCAAGTCAATCTTTATACCAATGCTCACTTGTGGTCATGAATCATGAGCCATGACTGAAAAACTGAGATTCCAAGTACAAGGGGCTGAAATTGACTTTCTGAGACGGATCACCGGGCGCTCCCGTGTCTCCACAACGTCTGGAGTTAGAACAGCTTCCTGCAGAACAACCTATTTTCAAGATTGAGAAATCACAGCTATGGTGGTTCGGAAAACTTCCAGAAAAGAAAACAAAACAACAATTACTCCATCAACTGACCGACAGCAGTACCAAGGGACAGCCAAGAATGACATGAGCAAGTGGCTTGAAAGACTCTGTTTCTGACTCCGGTTATTACATGCCAAAGCTAAAACGATGGCATGCTGTCAGAAACGTTGGAGATGCTGTGTGACACGTCTGCCTCTGCGATCAGAAAAAACAAACGGTCACCGAAACTTAAATGCCACGCAAAACATGTTCAGTTATGTTCTTTTCTTTATTTCCTAGGCAAAACACAGAGCGGACCTACAGGTTCTTTAGTCCAAGCCCGCAAAACGTCAAGAACCTGAGAGATGGTGGACAACTGATAAGATCTAAACATGCCTTCGTTGGAGTTAGTACAGGCTGCGACCTCTCATCCTTTCATTTCGGTACATAATTGCAAAGACTTTCGTAGATACGACTGCCTTAAACGACTTCTACGGTTCTACTTACATTTCCACTTCTGAAACCCTTTTTTCGTGAAGTCAACAGTGAAGCACCGATCTCCACTTGCATAGCAGCAGTCAGGAATGCCTTATAGGGCAGAATCTACACCAGCTAAGTAACAAGTCTTGTTTAGCTCTCCTAGACTGGAACTTGTTAATCTACCGTAGAAGCAAGAAACGACCTGATCAGGACTGGAATCCGAAACTTCTCGCTTCTCAGTCTGATGCTCTATCGATTGAGCAACCCCAGCGTAAAAGGCTCAAGGAACTCTCTCAATACTAGTTCCCACTGCCTCACTGATTGACCACTTCCAAGATCATAATAAGCATTGATTGCATAGGAGAATCAACAATAAACACTTCGCCCACGGCGCGATTCCGTACTTTAGTTGTTAAGTATTCTGTACCGCTGAGATTTAATTAAGAGA